TGTCCTTGCTCACCAGGCAGTAAATAGGTACTTAGGCAATAGTCGACTATTGTGGGTCACATCCTAGGGGACAAGACTAAAAACACAAAATGGAAATAAGACTCCTCATTGACATATAATGACTTTTTTGGGGGGATTTTCCTAGGTACCTAACTCTCTGGGTTAATAATCCAAACAAAATCTTATATTATCTTTGGGTTTAGGCTATGTAGATAACATAAATAATATGCTTGGAACTATTTGAATTCTGTGTGATTAATGAAGAATGCATCATCTCCTTGGCTTCAAACTTTTAACTGGGGATTTTTTCCTTAAAGGAAACTTTGCACTAGTTTTAGGTTGTGTACTTTTTAATTATTTAATTTAAATAATTAAAATGGGTTTCCATGCAATAACTAGAGAAGGCCTCTTCTGATTGCCTTTAAACTTTAAGCACTGGTAATTACCTATTTTATGTATTTGTAGCTACAAGAGCAGAGCTATGCTCATTGTGTCCTGTCTTCAACAATTTGTTCATCATATAATTTAAATTTCCAATGGTTGTATCACTTACTACACTCTCTAGTAATTCATTTCATTGATTTATCACTAAAAAAAATTTCCTAACATCTTGGCTCTAGGGAAATCTGAGGGAATATTAGAGGCCACAATTTACAACTGTGGCCTCTTGTTATCCCTCAGATTTTTTAATTGGTAACTATTTTGTAGCTCTGCTTTGGCCTTTAATTTATGCATGTGTTTTTTAAGGTGTGGGCACCACACTCAGAAATGTTCAAGAAATGGCAAAGTATTTTATGCACAGTGGTATATTACAGACCATTCTGGAGAAATACCCTGACTTTGCTAGCTGTAAATAAAGCATTACCACGTGTGTGTGTGTGTGTGTGTGTGTAATTATGTGTGGGTTTATTAAGTGTCTGAAAAGTAGATGGAATTGTGCGTTGGAGTGTTATGTGGAGTCTCAGTGGTCCCTTACCTGACCACAACTTCTTGTGACCTGACCCTCACCCTCCTGTGACTTGACCCGCACCTACTTACAATGCTGCCCTCTATGCTTTTACTACCACCTAAGCTTATAGTAACTTACTTGCCTTGTTCCATAGATTACCAATTGCTATTCCTTATTGAGTACTTGAGTGCCTATTCTTTATCATGCTAGGAGAGTTGGACCGTTCACAATCAGCTTGGCGGTTAATTGGAACCCGAAACCCACACTCAAACAACCACGCATAGATGATTACAGTACTTACAATGCAGCTGTAGCAGTCTGTAGATTGTCCAGCTCGATGTGACGTCCTGGCGTAGATCCACCTCAATTTCTTCTCGTTTTATAACGTACCCTATTCACTGTATTTCTTTCGCTGGTCACACGTTTGTTTCACTTTATTATCTTTCTTGGGTGACACGTGGCAATGTTGCCTGAGCCCTGCCCGCTCTGAATGCACCACCATGTTTCACTTTCTAGATCACTTACAAAATTGTGGCTCTCCCCACACTTATGTGGCTCATGCAGATTGTAAATCGCTTCAAGGAATTGTTCACTACCCTAACACACTTAGCAACCCTTGCAGTACACTTGGGTAGCCCTCAAAAACACTTACATTCGCAGAGCACGGAAGGCGTGACTCGCGCACGCAGTGTCCCTACTGTGTGTGTGTGTGTGTGTGTGTGTGCGCGCGCGCTTGTGTATGCATATATTTGTACGCTCGTACTCACCTAGTTGTACTCACCTAGTTGAGGTTGCGGGGGTCGAGTCCGAGCTCCTGGCCCCGCCTCTTCACTGATCGCTACTAGGTCACTCTCCCCGAGCCGTGAGCTTTATCATACCTCTGCTTAAAGCTATGTATGGATCCTGCCTCCACTACATCGCTTCCCAAACTATTCCACTTACTGACTACTCTGTGGCTGAAGAAATACTTCCTAACATCCCTGTGATTCATCTGTGTCTTCAGCTTCCAACTGTGTCCCCTTGTTACTGTGTCCAATCTCTGGAACATCCTGTCTTTGTCCACCTTGTCAATTCCCCTCAGTATTTTGTATGTCGTTACCATGTCCCCCCTATCTCTCCTGTCCTCCAGTGTCGTCAGGTTGATTTCCCTTAACCTCTCCTCGTAGGACATACCTCTTAGCTCTGGGACTAGTCTTGTTGCAAACCTTTGCACTTTCTCTAGTTTCTTTACGTGCTTGGCTAGGTGTGGGTTCCAAACTGGTGCCGCATACTCCAATATGGGCCTAACGTATACGGTGTACAGGGTCCTGAACGATTCCTTATTAAGATGTCGGAATGCTGTTCTGAGGTTTGCTAGGCGCCCATATGCTGCAGCAGTTATTTGGTTGATGTGCGCTTCAGGAGATGTGCCTGGTGTTATACTCACCCCAAGATCTTTTTCCTTGAGTGAGGTTTGTAGTCTCTGACCCCCTAGACTGTACTCCGTCTGCGGCCTTCTTTGCCCTTCCCCAATCTTCATGACTTTGCACTTGGTGGGATTGAACTCCAGGAGCCAATTGCTGGACCAGGTCTGCAGCCTGTCCAGATCCCTTTGTAGTTCTGCCTGGTCTTCGATCGAGTGTATTCTTCTCATCAACTTCACGTCATCTGCAAACAGGGACACCTCAGAGTCTATTCCTTCCGTCATGTCGTTCACAAATACCAGAAACAGCACTGGTCCTAGGACTGACCCCTGCGGGACCCCGCTGGTCACAGGTGCCCACTCTGACACCTCGCCACGTACCATGACTCGCTGCTGTCTTCCTGACAAGTATTCCCTGATCCATTGTAGTGCCTTCCCTGTTATCCCTGCTTGGTCCTCCAGTTTTTGCACCAATCTCTTGTGTGGAACTGTGTCAAATGCCTTCTTGCAGTCCAAGAAAATGCAATCCACCCACCCCTCTCTCTCTTGTCTTACTGCTGTCACCATGTCATAGAACTCCAGTAGGTTTGTGACACAGGATTTCCCGTCCCTGAAACCATGCTGGCTGCTGTTGATGAGATCATTCCTTTATAGGTGTTCCACCACTCTTCTCCTGATAATCTTCTCGTGTGCATGTGTCTGTGCGTGCACCCTCGTGTGTGTGTGTGTGTGTGTGTGTGTGTGTGTGTGTGTGTGTGTGCGTGCGCTCGTGTGGGTGTATGACCCACTTAATATTTGTATTTATAACTCATTACAGTTGTGACCAGGTGTGGACGTATCAGTGGCTCATTACTTTGTAATTTGTTTATGACTGTAAACATGTATAGGAGTGAGGCTGATTCATTACCTTTGTAACTTGCCATGATTGTGACCAGATCTACCTGGAGTTCATTACCTTTGTAACTAGTTCAGCTATCATAACTTTGGGGTCCAGTCCCTGGACCCATTATGTACCTCTGTAATCTTTTGGCTACCACCCACAGGATGGGTATGGGGTGCATAATAAAGATATTAAACTAACTAACTACCTGGAGTTTACCTAAAGAGGGTTTCGGGGGTCAACGCCCCCACGGCTCGGTCTGAGACCAGGCCTCATGGTGGATCAGGGTCTGATCAACCAGGCTGTTACTGCTGGTTGTGAATAAGCTTTTCAGCATTTTTCCGTCCATATATATAAAAGCTATTTCACAATTCACTAGAGTTGTATATGAGTTTCTCACAATTTTGTCGTGTGATCTGGTGACATTTAATTTTTAATACTAACACTTTAGTCCCTTTCTTTCATTGACATTATCAGTATTTTATCACAATTTATATTCTTCATACGGTTTGATTGCACTCTCTTCCATTTCTGTTACCAGGCTCCATGGCCTGGTGGCTAAAGCTCTTGCTTCACACAGCAAGGGTCCGGGTTCGATTCCCAGCAAGGGTAGAAACATTGGGTGTGTTTCTTTACACCAGTTGTCTGTGTTCACCCATCAGTAAAATGGGTACCTAGGCGTTAGTCAACTGGTGTGGGTCGCACCCTGAGACAAAACTGACCTAATTTGCCCGAAATGCTCTGCATAACAAGCGGCTTTCTATGTAGTAGGATGTCATTGATGTCAGCTAGGCCTGTATACCTTGTACATGTACTTGTAGAAATAAAGATATTACATGTATATGTATTATTATTATACATGGCTTTTATCTACATTAAATTCCATTAAATCATTATTATTATTAAATTCATTTATCTACTACATTAAATTCCATTAAATCATTATTATTATATTTACATATGTTATCTTTTTGCCTAAGCTGCAAAGATGTTCTTGTATTTATTCCTGCTGATAAATTCCTCATGTAAATTAAAAGCATTATTTGGACAAGTACAGATCCTCAGGGCAACCCACTTGTAACATCTTTCAATGAGGACATATCTTACCTAGTTTTAGTCTCCCTTCTTATTGGCTTCAGACGTTCATTGGTAATATTTAACTGCATTAGAAACTTATTCCGTATTCTGTACTACTCCTTTTGTGTGTATTACAGTGGGGGGCTGGGCTTATGGGGTGCAGGGATACCTTTCTCAGGTCGCAAAGCATGCCTAGCACTACCACATACAGGATAATCATTTGAATATATGGCCACATGTCAGTAAGGTGGGTGAGCATAACTATGGGTTGCCATGCGAGGGTGGTTGATGTTGGTGCAGCTGAGGATGAGGTGCACTCAGCTTATCTCAAATCACATTTCCTTTCATTATGAAGCTCATGTCCAGCAGTCACACTGACAGTGCTCACACCATTAAGTTCTCTCTTTATACCATTCAAGGAAGGGGAAAGTTGCCTTTGCATTAAAGACCTCTTGATCAAAGGAAGTAGAGTTTCCCTCCTCTTTCTTGGATCAAATCTGATTACCTCCTATTATCCAGTTGATGTATGACCCCTATGAGTTTAGCACTTTTTTGCTTTTAATAATAATAGCTGTAAACCATCTCCTTACATTTCAAACTAGGCTGAGCAATATATTACAGTACATACCTTATATTACATACCTATAACATATTGTACCTTTCAATTCTCTACACATTATGTATTATTACAGACTTGGCAGCAGTATACACTGCACAATGATGACCTTCTGGAAATGGGGTGCATCTGCAGTGATTGTTCTGATCATTGCATGTAGCTGCCTAGGCCAGGGTAAGAAAATACTTGTATTTGGGATATCATACAGGAGGGCCCCGCTATACATCAGGTTAGGTTCCGGACTACCACTGTAAAGTGAAAATCGCTGTAAAGTGAATCGTAGCCTTTTTTCACTTTCAAATGCATATAAAAGCCTGATAACATGTTTTTGCTTTCATATATTAAGTAATATAGCTAGGCCTAAAAATGCATATACAGTACACACATTACTGAAAATGTTTTCATCCTGAATGTATAGTGAGTCATGAATATATTTATTGTAGGAAGTTTTGAATAAATGAAGAATGGCTATAATTGAAAAACTGCTGTATTAGTGAAATGCTGTACAACAGGACCTGCCTGTATTTTTATTTCTCCAAAACTATTTATTGCTGTATGAAACTTATGGATTTAGTGCTTATTTTTAATATAATAATCCAAAGTTTTTTATTCGACTTTAGTGAGTGTGCCTTCTCATATTCAGATTCAAAACTTCAAAATTCAAATAATCATTTGAATGAACATGATAACTGATTACAAAGCTCATATATAAATAGGCACAATATTGAACTGTATTTTACACTTTCATCTTCTCTTCTATAATTTCATCAATGTAGAACGGCAATATGAACATCAAGACTCTGCTGTGCATAATCACCATGGAAATGGCAGAAATGCTAGGGGAAGATTCAAAAGCCCTACAGATGAGATGGATGATGATCGTGTGTTGACACGAGAGGAGAGGAGAAGGCAAAGGGAGGAGCGCCAACTGGCAAGAAGTGAGAGAAGGTGTGTATGAATAAAAACTAATTGGCACCACTTCTTAAAATTCTTGGGAAATTAGATAAGAAACATGATTTTTTTGGTATATGAATTTATTGTTTTTGTGGTTTGGAGGGTCATCTGAGCTGTAATGTCAGCATGCTTCTGGCATGACACTGATTGAATGAGGGACAGTGAAAGTGTTGTCTTCTTTGTCAGGTTACCATGCCTCAGTGGGAAGTGGCAGCAGTCTTCACCCACCAAGGCAGGGTAACCCAAAGGAGAAAATACATTCACCATCATTCATTCAGTAGCTGTCTTACCAGAAGTGCACTGACATCACCAAGCACATTACCCTCCTACTGCAACATTCCCATCTCTCCTTCACAGTGCAAGCACTGCCCTTCCCACCTTTAGGACTCTAAGTCTGGCTAACTGGTGTCCCTGAATCTCTTCATGAAAGTTATTTTGCTTGAGCTCCAACAGTATGTCCATTAAATACCACTTGTTTCCATTCACTCCTATCTAACATGCTTACACAAGCCTCACACTGATGTAAGTGTTGGTACCACTGTACTCTGGTATATTTATTTTTTTTCTTCCATAGATAAGTTTTTTTTTTCTACAGATACTTAAGCACACCAACCCCCCCTTTTTTGTCCCCTTATCCGTTCTGTGGTTCACCTTGTCTTATAGATCCGTTTATCTGCTATATACATTCACTTCCATACTTTCTCTCCAATCTGATATCCAATCTATCATTACATAGTCTTTGTTATTCTCATCACCTTACTGATTTCTGTGTTCACTTTTAATTTCCTTCTTTTATATGCCCTCTCAAATTCACCCATCGACCTTCCTAACTTGACTTCAGAATCCCTCAAGTCATCAGCAGAAAGCAACTGTGATAACTTCCACATTATATCAGATCCAGCATCTTTTAATCACACACCTATTTGAAAATATCAGCAGTAATTCATTGCTGCAGCTCCAAATAATGTAGAAATGTTGTTAAAATGCTGATAAATAATGAATCTTACAGTGAAGTATGTATAGCAATTGTAAATGACTTGGTAACAGCATAAAGAATGCAGTGGAAACTAAAATGATAAAAGTTATATTTAAAATGTTTGTTATATATAGGTACTTTTAGAAAGTTTTCTAAAAACCACTATAACATATGGAAAACATGCAGTTCAAACTTGTAAGATGCAACCTATTTACCTGAAGAGGTAAATAGGTTGCAGAAAATATAAAATAGTAATATAGTATTGATTAGTATCATGTAAAATTTAAGATTAAGCAAATTTTTCTAATTGAGATGTGGATACTACAACCTCACATTGTTTGAATAGCTAATTTGATTTTTTTTTTTTGCTTAATGTGTATCTTTTAATCAAACTACAGTATACCGTCAGGGATGAAAGGAGGCGGCAAAAGGAGGATGGTCGGAGAACAGGGCATGACCGAAGACATGAAGTATCCGCTGAGGTGGTGGACTTAGCATGGTTGAGGGCTAACCTTTCCTCCCTCTGGAGAGAGTTTCGAGCTTTTACAAAGCAACAGGTTAGAGAATTTGGAGAGCCCATTACACAGCAAGTAAAAGCTGTTGATTTGTTTCCCTGAGTTATCTCTAAGTATCCATCATTAGAGTAGGGCTTCTCAGTACTGGAGATCATAGAACGACTAACATCTTTAGATCAAGGAATAGAACAAGTTTAATACTACTGTAAATACTGTACAAAGGTAATTTAGGAGATGCCAAACAGTTTGCTTGATTATAACACTACTTATAAATGTAAAAAAAAAAAAAAAGTAATAATAATTGCATTAGATCCACAACTAGGAGTTGCATTCCTGTTTATGTTTTACTTACAAACAAGGTGTTTGTTTAAAAAACATTTATACAAAGGATTATTTCTCACATGTTCCTACTGTAGCTTCATTTGTTATGTAAAGGTATGCAGACTGCCATTTGGAAGTCGAACAGTTGTTAAAAAAATTATTTACATAGAATAGTGTTTTACTCTATTTACTTTTAGCAATGCTTTTTATGTATTGTAACACCTCTCAGTGGATTTTGGCAGCTTTGGACAAAAAAATTGGCAGAACAAACATTGGAAGTCTTGAACGAAATGGACAAAAGTTGGTAATTCTGGATTTTGTTTGTAGTGATAGTGTCCAGTTGTCTTCTGAAGTATCGGACCAAGCCTGATAACTTCACTATTTGCCTGATACAGACCAGAGCGTCCATGTCCAGGCCCCCTCTGTTTTAATTGATTCATGATCTGTAGGCCTCCCATGCTAGTTTGTTTGTGTTCATTCATGCATACACTTATTCAGTCTCTAATTTTTCCTGGGTTTAGGGTATTTTATGTGACTTTATCAACATATTAGTAAAGTAAAATTAACAGTGGCTTCTAAAGCAAGTGGTGGTGCCAAGAAGAAATGCTAAGGAGAAACTTTAAATAGTAAAGGTTGAGTGTGGTGTCTCATTGGTATGGGTATGTGAGAATATGGTGTTCAGAAACAGTGTCTGATATCCATAGAAGCAAGGACAAACTTACCAGTTATGCTGTTAAGTTTAGCATATTATTATTATTATTATAATCAAGGGGAAGCGCTAAACCCGTAGGATTATACAGCTAAGTTTAGCATAGATACTAGTGTAACTTGGCATCTCCTCTGACTCAGAATAAAAGTTAATCTGAGTCACCAGTACTGATCACAGCAGTTTACATATCATCTCTCCACTATGAAAAGGTAAGTAAAATTATTGTACTATAAAATTACTTTACGGTACTGTATTGTAGGGGTACAAGTTACAATGCCCATATTCTTTGTGTCTGGTTGTCTTCTGCATCAATGGACTGAAGTCCACTAGTTCAGAAGATGGCTGGATGATCATGAAAAATTAATTTCAGAATTGGGAAGTTTCAGACATTCAGCAATATCACACACTCCTCGTCCATTAGTCTGTTAACCCTTAAACTGTCCAAGCAGGTCTATGTTCACATGCGTAGTGCTCCAAAAGTAGATCTGCTTTTTTTTACATACTTTCAAATGTTGAAAAATCGTAGATCTACGTTTGGACAGTTTAAGGGTTAATGAGAGTGTTCACTGTATTTGTAGAAAAAATTATCTAAAAAGTTTTCACTCCTCAGGGACATGGACATACAAATCGTGGTTCACTAACAAGAGAACGCAGTGAAACTTCAGAAGCAAGTGAAGTTACAGAAGATTATGCCTCGTGTCCTACTGGGGTAGATGGCTGCCGCGGCAATGGAGGCCAGATCTGCAGTGGGCACGGGAAGTGCTCATGTGGTCATTGTCAGTGCAACTCTGATTACTATGGCAGCACATGCCAGTGTAGTGATTACACCTGTGATCTGTAAGTTTGTTTGTGACTGCAAATTATCATTCTACTTAAGAGAGAATTGGGTTATTAAGTATGTATGCACATGGAGATGAGAAGTGTGTAGAGGAGAGAGAGTTTGGGATGTGTTAAGTGAATGTTTTGGAAGCTTTGTGCCAAGTAAAAGAATAATTTTTATGGGGACCTAAATGCTAAAGTGGGCGAGTGTTGTAGCTGGTGTAGTATGTAAGTTTGGAGTGACCGGGGTACGTGATCATGGGGGACCCTTAAATGAATTATGCCTGTAAAGGGACTTGGTTATAGGTAATATTTAATTTAAGAAAGATGATAAATAAGCATAGAAGATATGACATAGGGTGTAATAATAGCAGTTTGTTAGACTGTATTAGTGGATAAAAGGCTAACACAGTGGACCCCCGGTTAACGATATTTTTTCACTCCAGAAGTATGTTCAGGTGCCAGTACTGATCGAATTTGTTCCCATAAGGAATATTGTGAAGTAGATTAGTCCATTTCAGACCCCCAAACATACACGTACAAACGCACTTACATAAATACACTTACATAATTGGTCGCATTCGGAGGTGATCGTTATGCGGGGGTCCACTGTACTTGTGGATGAGCATGTTTTTAAAGGGGGGTGACATATGTGTCAGATAAATAGTAGTAGCTACAGTAAGAGTAAAGGGTACATAGAGTACAAGGAGAATGGCATCAGTGGGTAAGAGAGTAGTGAAAGTGAATGAACTCAAGGAGACAAGGAAAGATATAAACATCTATTGGGAGAAAGGCAAGCAAGTATGAGTACAGGAAGTTGAGGAGATATGGGGTAAATTTAAGAATGCAATGCTATGGAGTGCAGCAGAAGTTTGTGAGTATAGGAGGGTGGTTGTGGGTGGGAAGAAGAATGATTGGTGGAATGATGATGAAGAGGGTGATAAGAAGAAAAAGTTAGTATATGAGGGGCTTTTATAATACAGTGGTACCTCAGTATATGTCCTTAATCCGTTCCAGGACCTTGGACTTATACTGAATGACTTTTTCCTTACGAAATATAGGGAAAATGATTAATCTGTTCCCATGAAAAAAAAATCCTATTGTTATTGGCATATTATACATTGATGGGGTTATATAAAATAATTTAAACACTGCTTAATACTAAAATATGTAATTTATACACTGCTTAATACTAAAATACATACATAAATACAAAAGAATTAGATGAAATAAATGCAAATTTAACCTCACTTTACTTTGCTGAAGAGTCGAGTGCCTACTAGGATAGTGCTGAGAAGGGGGGAGGAGGAAATGTTATTGTTTGGAAGGAGAGTCCCCTTCTCTTTTCTGTCTCTTTTTCCCTATTTGGACCTGGTTGAAGCTCACCAGGTTTGACTTTTACTAAAAATCTGTCCAAAGAACTTTGCTTCTGCCTTCTTCTCAGGATGTTTCAGAAATGTGACATTGTCTGGTCATTCCAGACAATGCTATTACGGCTTGTTTGGGCTTTGTTGGGGTGGTACTTCTCTGCAAAGTTTTTGATGTCCATCCATGTAGCAGAGATTTCCTTGATTAATGAAATAGGGGTTTCCCCTGTCTCCTTTTCCAAGCCTGAAGAGAGTGCATCTATCTTAGTCTTGTGCTCCTCCTTCTTAAGTTCCTGCATCTCCTCAGTGGTCAGCTCTTCCCTGTGCCCCTCCACTAACTCCTCCAAATCACCATCACTCACATCCAGACCCATGGACCTGCCCAGAGAGACAATATCCTCCACTATAGACACAGTCTCATATCCCTCAGTCCCTTTCAGCCACTTCTGGCCACAAATTCCTCCAAGCACTGTTCATTGTTCTGTATGAAACTTCCTGCCAGGCTTTGTCAATGAAAGTTATGCAATGCGCGATAGTAAAGTGATCTTTCCAACACTCTCAGGGTTAACTCTGTGTCAGAGGTCATTTCAAAGCACTTCTGGAATAGTACTTTAGTGTCGAGTTTCTTGAAATTACTGGTGACCTGCCGATCCATGGGCTGGATGAGAAGAGTCGTGTTAGGGGGAAGAAACTTTACAGTGATGAAGTCAAACTCCAGCAGCACATAGTCCTGCAAGCTTGGAGGGTGAGCTGGAGCATTGTCCATTATGAGGAGGGCCTTCAGAGGCAGGTTTTTCTCCTGTAAAGAACTTTTTAAACTTGGCCCAACCACAAGTCTTTTGACCCATACAAGTTCTAGCACACGAGTCGTATTCCAAACAAAGGTCGTATACCAAGCAAAAATTTTTGTGTCCAAACAAGACATATACCAAGATGGACTTATTCCAAAGCAGATGTGTACCAGGGTACCACTTTATAAAAGTTATTTACAGGTGGCAGAGTATATGAGAGAAAAAAAAGGGAGGGTAAAAAGCAGGGCTGTGGAGATGGAGTCTGAAGCAGTTCTTGGGTTACTGGAGTTGGAGTCAGCAAAATGTAATTAAAGGAGTCAGAATCGAAGGTTTTATGTGCTGTCTCCACAGCCCTGATAAAAAGAGAATAGGCATATTTTTGTCAGCAAATTTTGCTGAGAATGAGAAACAGTTTTGGAGATAATAAAGTGAGGAAGCCTGAAGAGCAAATGACATTTAAAAATGAACGAGGGGAGATATTAGATAGGGAGTTAGAATAGATTGAAAGAAATAAAATGGAATATAAGACAGATGTTCAAAGCAGGTGGAAATATAGTGTTGGAGTGGTTGGTGTATTTGTTTAATATATGCTTAAAAGAAGGGAAGGTACCTAAGGATTAGCAAAGAACATACATATTTTCCTTGTAAGGAAAAAGGGGACAAAAGAGAATGTTAGAATTTTAAGGGGATTAGCTCATTGAGTATACCTAGTAAAGTGTAAGGTAAAATTATTACTGAAAGGGTTAGCAGTAAGATAAAGTATGATTACAGAGGAGCCAGGAGGATTTAAGAAGGGTAGAAGATGTGTCAACAGCATTTACATTGAATAATTTAAGTGAGCAGAATTTAGATAAGGGTAAAGAGCAGTTTGTTTCATCAGTGGCTTTAGAAAAGGTGCATGATAGTGTGGATAGGGAACCCATGGGGCACATGTTGTACGTGTTTGGAATAGATGGTAGGTTACTAAAAGCAGGAAAGAGTTTATAAGTGGATAATGAGGCTCAGGGTATATAGAGAGGGAGACTGTTTCTTAGTGAAAGCAGGACTTGGGCAGGTATGCACAGTATGATGTCACCATTGTTATTTAATATACTTATAGATGGAGTTGTAAAAGAAGTGAATGCTGTTGTACTGGGGAGAGGTGCGAGATTAAATGTTGTTGTCACACTTGCTCTTTACAGATGACACAGTTAAGAACATAAGGAGCACTGCAGCAAGCTTACTGGCTTATGCTAGGCAAGTCCAAGTCACCAGTAGGTGACCTGGACCTGTCAAACTTGGACCTCCCAAATTCATCCACCAACCTCACCTACTGGCTTAGGCCAGTAGGTGAGGTTGGTGGATGAATTTGGGAGGGAAGGAAAAAGAAGAAATTGGAAGCAAACACAGAAAAGAGCAAGATGATGGAAGTAACAAAAAAGTCTAGGCAATGATAGATTACCTCTTTAATGTGTAACTTTTTTTTTTTTTTAAATGTTTGGAGTTAAAGGTGGAAGTAGAGACTACAGGATTGGTTAATGGGAGGGGGGTAAGGAAAGTTTAGTCTTAAGTATCTAACGAGCTTATGCAAGTGTGTGAGACAGGAGTGAGTGGAGGCAAGTAGCTTTTAATGGATATACCTTTGGATTGTGATCAAGGTAACTTTTTGCAGGAAAAGCAGTGCCTGCATTTGGGGGTGGAGTAATCTAAATTGTTATGTCAACATGCTTGTAGCAAAATTGTAATTGACTGAATGATGGTTAATGTCTGTATTAATCAGGATAAATATACTATTACTCATGGGAATTTTTCATATTTTACATTCTGTAGCATTTAGCTTCTCCAGGTTTATAAACTTGATTTCATAAGAATGATTAATTTGCTCCTTCTGCAGACATTTAATTAAATACATTGCTTACCAGTATGGTCTTCCCTATCAGTTGAATTATGCTTTCTAATGTCATTTATCATTTGAAGCTTTTTTTGTACAAGAGCATTTAATAATCAATGAGAACACATGTTTAAATGTTTTAGATGCATTTAATATACTGAACTGTTGATTTATAATCCATGTTTTTGAGGCAGATATGACGGAATGGTTTGTGGTGGACCAAGTCGTGGACAGTGTCGTTGTGGAGGGTGTGTATGTCGACCTGGCTATGTCGGAGAAGCTTGCAACTGCCCCACTCAAACTCAGACATGTATCCTACCAGGGAATAATAGTATATGCTCAAATAAAGGGACTTGTGTGTGTGGAAGATGTAGCTGTGGAGATGGGTAGGTTATTGTATTCAATATCTACTTAGTACATAGTGTAGAGAATTGGTTACAGTAGAGTCTTACTATATGAACAAGTACTAGTTAGTATCTTGGGAATTTTGAGTATCAAAGAGTGATAAATTCATTGCCACTAGCAGAATAATCATTATTTACCTTGAGATAGAGCACATGCTCTCTTACTCCATGCACACCAGGACACAAATATATTATGCACTATTTACTAATTGAAAAGATCTATAGAATGTATGCCTGCACAGGTAGTTATTTTAATAGGAGTGCAAAACTTTTAAATACAGTATTGTGATATATCACTTGGCATAACAGTACATATGTGAAAAATTATACGAATACTATATCCTTAAAAAGCGTATTAATTTCAATAACTGTACGGCTTTAGGTCTGTCTCTATAGATGTAAACCACTGGTCGTAAGTATGAATGAATGGTAAAGAGTATTGGTAACTGAATGGAAACTGAGTCACATATCAACCAGATACTGCCTGGAGTTTGAAGAGGGCATCAGTTTTACAGGTATGATGTGTGCACACAGTACAAACTTGGTTGCTTAATTTATGGAAGGTGATCCCATGGTCAATTAATGAGAAGTGTGATAGCAAGTGTGTTACCATTAAACATTTTTCTGGCTGTACTTGGATAGAGCATCAAAAAAATTGCATTCACATCTCATAGTAAAGGCTAGACTAATGGCAGGAGGACAGACATGAAGAACTCAATATTTATACTGCATCCTGAACTGCCATCTTAAACCAGTTTTTTTTTTCCCCAGATTTAAAGGTATGTACTGTGAGGATTCAGCCTATGCAGCTGGAGTATGTGAAAAGCTGAAGCCTTGTGTTCTCTGTAAAGCCTGGAAGTGGGAGCTGTCTACATGTGATCAGTGTCAGATCACAGTCACTACTGTGGATATTCTTGGTGAGTACCACCAAGTAATTGGTAATTCATTTAAATCTGTAGTATATTAATGTAGGACTAAAGTCATTTGAAATCAAAAGATGGCCAAGAAAGGTTTTTGGTTCTGTTTTTACAATTAAAATGCTCATTTGATGAAAAAGAAAGCTTTTAGAACCAATATTTATATGAAATTTTTGACAACCAGTAAATGATCATTTCTAATACATCAGCTGTTCCCCACTAGAGAAGGGTGACCTCCCCCCTCAAAAAAAAAAAAAAAAAAAAAAAAATAAATAGGGGCAGTGATGAACCACTGAACGGCAACATTTCCACTTCTAAATCTGGCTAACTGGTTCCCTGAATCTCTTCACACACACATTGCCATACACTAACCCAGCAAAATCCCGAAGGCCACTTAACTCCAATCTCCCATGCTCTATGACTGCTAGATGTTCAAGCCTCTATCTCTTTCACACTACCAACTTTTTTCTTGGACATCCCTTACACCTTTTATACACCCCAGACTTAAAAAGCCTCTTAACCCCTTCATTGTTGGAAGCCCCAAAATTAGAGGAGATGAGTGTTGGTATTTTTTTTTTTTTAAATTCTTCTGAAATGGTAGATTATTATTATTATAAAGATTATTATTATTATAATCATGGGGGAGTGCTAAACCCATAGAATTATGCAGCACCTTTGGGGGGGGGGAATGTGTAAGGCATTCAGGCTTGAGGGAACTGGAGCACAGATTCAGTTCCCTAGATCAAGAGACCTCACCAACATCAAGGAATCTTCCTTGAGGGGTGAAATGGTAGAGAATCTTCTTCTGAAGGTAATGACACCGCAAAAACGAAATTTGATGGAGAACTTGGGGAATTATGCAGGCACAATTTTAGTGATCTGGGCACAATTTACATATCAGCAATTTCACCCAGTTTGAGTCCTGTTTTAAGCCAGTTCCATTGCTCAGCTTGACCAAATTCTTAGCTATTTTGCCACTATCCTTCTGTTTATCCATTGAACACAAGAAACCACCTTTACAGCTATCAGAACTACCCTTGTATATATTTGGGCAATTTTATATAAAATTCCAATTTTAAAAACAGTCCAAAATGAACACTGTAGACATTCCAAGCACTAAATGAACATTACTTTTGTTCATTAATCATGTATTAATGTTGGTACAATTACTGACAATATGTTAGGTAAAAGGACACAATGTGACATTTTATTGTGGCAACATTTGGCTCTTCAGGAGCTTTATTAAGCAGTTACAAACAATACATGGACACAGAGGGTGTATATAGGCTCACACCGAGGTGTAATACTAGTAGTAGAACAATGAACCAGCACATGAGTAAAAGCTATTAAATGTACTCTACTTGGGTAGCATAAAAATAGGTTAGGCAAATATTTCTGTTAGGGGTTGGGAAGGCCTGTTTCAGCATTCCTCCTCTTTGTTATGTTCTTGTGTAGTATTAGTAGCAACGACTACATGATGGCAGGGTTTATTGTTTTGAGGAGGATTTTTGCTAATAACTTCAGAGATGATGAAGTTGCCTTTATTTTGCTTGCATTAGAAACGGCAATTAATGACGATTCAAGGCATTTGCGTCTGCGGAAATTAGGTTCTCTGATCACTAATGTTAGTTTGTGAGAGTACCTTAGAAACGTTCAATGCAACCTGGCTGTTGGGAACGATTATAAGCTTGTTAGGAGTGGTGTTGGTGCATGAAGAATTGATCTGAAGAGCTCTTTTCTTGCAGTCTTTGATGAAAAGGAAGGAAAATGAAAATCAGTGAAGGTTTGATGTATGTAAGTACATTCCTCGTCAAGAAGCAGGACCACAAATTCGGTAAGCTCTTAAGAAAAATCCGATGATACCTCTTTTGGTCTTAGTATCTTGACCAACACCGCTCCTGACGAAGTTACAATTCTTCCCAACAGCCAGGTTGTATTGAACGTTTCTAAGGTATTCGCACAAACTAACACTAGAGTCGCCATCACATTCAGCACTTCCATAAGGGATCTAACCAGGACAAAATCAAACCACCACGAACCAGTCAGTGCAGAAGTTTATACCTTGTGGAGGCTGCGACAGAATATATATAGATGAAACTGCAAGGAACCTCGAAACACATCTCAGTGAACACATTAACGCATGTAGGAACTATAACTTGAACAATGCCTTAGTACAACACTGGAATTCCACCAATCACATCATGAAATTCAACGACGCCCAACTAGTGATCAGAGAACCTAATTTCCACAGACGTAAATACCTTGAATCATCATTAATTAGTTTCTAATACAAGCAAAATAAAGGCAGTTTCATCATCTCTGAAGTATTAGCAAAAATCCTCCTCAAAACAATAAACCCTGCCATCACAGTTGCTGCTGCTGCTAATACTACACAAAAACATAACAGAGGAGGAACACTGGCCTTACCAACCACTAACAGAAATATTTGTCTAACCTATTTTTATGCTACCTAGGTAATAGCTTTTATAACCTTTTACTCATGTGGAAGTTGATTGTTCTACCACATATATTACGTACTACTACTACACCTCACTCTAAGTCTATATGTACTCTCTGTGTCCCTGCATTGTTTGTAATGGCTTTGAAAAGCTCCTGGAGAGCGAAGTGTTGCCACAATAAAATGTCATATTGGTTGCACTTGTGTCGTTTCATTAATCATGTCCCTCATGCCTCCTCCATTAATTTTTTTTTTTTAGGAATTACCCTATTTCTCAGATAATAATACCCCTCAAGGGAAGTTCCTTGATGCTGGTGAGGGGCTCTTGATCTGTGCTCCAGTTCCGTGAATTGAGCCCGAATGCCTTTCATTCCCCCCCCCCACATGTGCTGTATAATTCTATGGGTTGAAGCACGCTCCATGGTTATTATTATTAAAATCAGATAATATAATCAGGCATTATTGGTCATGGTTTACAGCATCCCATTAGTTGAACCAGGCCTAGTAAAAGCCCATAAAACAGACCAGGGGGAAGGGTGTAGGGAGGCTTTACCCACCCTCAGGAAGATTGTCAAACATCTAATAATTACATTATTTTAAACTCAATTTCAAGCTACTTTCTGTCCTAGAACCACCCAAACTCATCTGTTTCACTTGTATATCCTTTGTTCTATCGAATAATACCAAGGCCAATAAAACCATAAAAACCATCATAGAAAACACCTCGGTTGCTATTTTAAACCACATTAAGCCACAAAAACTATTTGTCTCCACTCGCTCCCTTCTAACATGCTGACACAAGCCTGTTGGATGTTCAAGACCCTAGTACTCAAAACCTATTGTATTTTATTTAATGTACAGTACAGAGGAGTGCTATACTCATAGGGGTCACATAGCTCTTGGTAATAAGAAGCAATCAAGTTTGATCCAAGGAAAGGGAGAACAACTCCAATTCTTTGGACCAAGTTCTTCACTGCCATCATTATTATTAGTCATGGGAAGTGCTAAACCCATAGCCATATAATGCCTGGAGAATGGGAGATAAACAGGTTTGATCCAAGGAATGAGACAGTAGTTCCAAGTCACAGTTTGTGCTCTGATAAATTGTATGAGGAAATATAATAAATTTTCTTATGGTTTGCAGAACCATCAATGACAACTTGTGTGATGGTTAACTCGGGATGCATTCTCAAGTATTCGTACAGTCTACAAGTGTTGGGCATATATAATGTTCTTGTGGAAAGAAACAATGTAAGTACCTTTGATATACCTTTGAAGAGTTTCGAGAGTTTATCTACTCTCTGAGCCCGGCCATGGGCCAGGCTCGTCTGGTCAACCAGGCCTGGTTATGATCATATTTAAAGCTGTAATAACCTCAATTAACTATTTATCTAGTCTGTTTTATTTGTATTACAGTAGATCTTTCAATAAATTACCTGACATCTAAAGGGAAAAGGGGAATGCTGAATTTTCAACCACACTGGATGATCACATTTTATGGCCCCTTTTGTTCCACATTCTTTTTTTAGCATTATCTGTTTACAGACTGCTGGATATTGTTAAACACTGAATAAGTAATTTGCAGTTTAATTGAACTTACTGTATGTGAATCCTTGCTTGGGTAGGCTTAGATCATAATCACTATTAACCACTCCACAGGAATGTCCACCACAAATTGACTAAGGTGAACTCCTTCGATAAATATAAGCAAGAGATGAAGGTCAGTGATCACCTTGTGCCTCTATACAAGAATTGTGCAGAGCTGTAATTATGACTACAAAAGGGGAACGTCTTATAATTTTGGTGTTCATGTGGAAATACTAAACTGATAAGTGCTGTACAACACCTGGCAAATTAGGTAATTAGATTTGATCATAAGAAATTGGGAAGTGACCTTAATTCTTTGAAACAAGAGCCCTTCATCAGTATCAAGGCCAACTCCCCTTGAAAGGTTTCAAATTTTATAATTCCTAAAGGAAATTCAAACTTGCAATGTTTTTACTATAGTCATTATGTTCTAGTTATGCAGTGATGGCATCATTATTCAACTATCATCATATTTATGGAAAGTTCACATAATCTATCCCATTCACGTATCATTTATTGATCTTGAGTAATTCCATTCTTAGTAAGCTTTAGCTAATCATGGCACTTCATATTTTGTCAGTGAGCAGCAGTGCTTTTTAGATTTTTAAACAATACTAATTGATTTATAAATATTTGAATATATTGGTATAAGCATTTTACTTAGGATCTTGTATACTATCTCTGTCATTATTTGTTTTTGTTATCCATGCATTGCTACAGTCTACAGACCTTGGGTGTATATATAATGTTCTTGTGGAAAGAACAATGTACCAAGTTTTTTTTTTTTTTTACAAAGTGTCAAGGCAAGAAGACTTTCAGGGCAAAGAAATTTGCTAATAAAAATGGAAAAATAGAAAATCTGCATAGTTTTTTATTACAGGATTTTTAATAAACTGTCTTTTTGAGAATTCACCAACCACCTTAAAGAGAAGACCAACAAAAAGATTTTTCTGTGATATACATGAAAGTAAATTAATCATACATGACAGACTTTGATAATGTGTATTCTTTAAAAATAAAAGTGGGTGGGAAGCCATAAACCTCTTTGGAATGTAATACTTAATGAAAGTTAAATCTCGTCAAATATAATTCTATTTACACAAACCATTCAAACAAGCATAGTCAACTATAAGAATACAGTACTAAAAAAATTATAGTCTACAATAAATAGATAATTTCTAAAGTATGGTATGTTATGCTACACAAGTGTAAGGCAACAATAGCTGAAACAGGAACTAGATAAAGCTCACAATAAAAATAATCTCACAAAACGAAAACAGATGTTGGAGTTTCCTTTTCCTTGTTTTTCCATGCCTACTTCAGGAGAAAACTGTAACAGAAAATAAAGGCATTTATAAATTATATTTTCATACATACTGTATGGGTATCATATGAGTTTGATATATTCCAAGGAAGGGCCAAATTTGTGGGTCACAGTGCTGTGGTGGAAGGAGTGAAGAGCTACAGTCTTAAGTGGGAGTCAATTAAATTCTCGAGAAGCCAAATGGTTTATGAAACATCTCTTAACATACTGCCTGAACCTTACCTTCAAGAGGAGTTACTCCTTTAAAATGTTTTACTTTTTTTCATCGGTTGTTTCCCACCGAGGCAGGGTGGCAAAAAAAAAAAAAAAAAAAAAAAAAAAAAAAAAACTTTCACCATCATTCAACACTTTCACAATCCTTCGTACATAATCACTGTCTTTGCAGATGCGCTCAGATATAACAGCTTAGACATCCCTCCAAAATGCCAATATCCCAAACCCCTCCTTTAAAGTGCAGGCATTGTACTTCCCATTTCCAGGACTCAAGTCCGGCTAATCAGTTCCCCTGAATCCCTGCACAAAATATTACCCTGCTCACACTCCAACAGCTCACCAGGTCACAAAAATCATTCTTCTCCCTTCACTCCTGTCTAACACTCTCACGCATGCTTGCTGGAAGTCCAAGTCCCTTGCCCACAAAGAGTCCTTTACCCCCCTCCCTCCAACCTTTTCGGGGACAACCTCTACCCCGCCTTCCTTCAACAGATTTATACGTTCTCCAAGTCATTTTACTTTGTTCCATTCTTTTTAAATGACCAAACCACCTCAACAACCCCTCTTCAGCCCTCTGAATAATACTATTAGTAACTCCACACCTCCTCCTAATTTCCACACTACAAATTCTCTGCATAATATTTACACCACACATTGCCCTTAGACAAGACATCTCCACTGCCTCCAGCCTCCTCCTTGCTGCAGCATTTACAACCCATGCTTCACACCCATATATGTGTGTTTGTACCACTATTCTCTCATATATTCCTTCCTTTGCCTCCATGGATAACGTTTTTTGTCTCCACAGATACCTCAACACACCACTTGTCTTTTTTTCCTTCATCAATTCTATGGTTAACCTCATCCTTCATAAACCCATCCACTGACAAGTCAACTCCCATATATCTGAAAACATTCACTTCTTCCATACTCCCTCCCTCCAATGTGATATCCAATTTTTCTTTATCTAAATCGTTTGATACCATTATCACCTTACTCTTATCTATGTTTACTTTCAACTCTCTACCTTTACACACCCTCCCAAACTCATAAATTAACCTTTGCAACTTTTCTTTAGAATCCCCCAAAAGCACAGTATCATCAGCAAAAAGTAACTTGACTCCCATTTTGAATCCGATTCCCCATAATTTAATCCCACCCCTCTCCCAAATACCCTATCATTTACTTCTTTTACAACCCCATCTATAAATATGTTAAACAACCATGTTGACATTACACATCCCTGTCTAAGACCTACTTGTACTGGGAAGTAATCTCCCTCCCTCCTACACACCCTAACCTGAGCCTCACTACCTACTCCATACAGTTGCAACATCTGCCACATTGCTCCCCTATCCACTTATCATATGCCTTTTCTAAATTGATAAATGCAATGAAAACTTCCCTACCTTTATCTAAATACTGTTCACATATATGCTTCAATGTAAACACTTGATTTACACATCCCCTACCCATTCTAAAGTCTCCTTGTTCATCTACAATCCTGTTCTCTGTCTTACCTCTACTTCTTTCAATAATAACCCTACCATACACTTTACCCGATATACTCAGTAAACTTTTTTTTTTTTTTTCAACAAGTCAGCCATCTCCCACCGAGGCAGGGTGACCCAAAAAGAAAATACTTTCATCATCATTCAACACTTTCACCTCACTCATACATAATCAGTCTTTGCAGAGGCAGTTTATAAGTCCTTCCATACTGTCAATATCCCAGACCCTTCCTTTACAGTGCAGGCATTGTACTTCCCATTTCCAGGACCCAAGTCTGGCTCAATCCATAATAACCGGTTTCCCTGAATCCCTTCACTAAATACAGTGGTCCCTCGATAATCGTCGGGCTCGATAGTCATCCTTTTTGGAAATCGTTGCATTATTTTCATCTAAACATTGGCTCGCAAATGGTCAGTTGACTCGCTAATCTTCGTTCGTCCTGGACACGTAGTCACGGCTCTGAGTCGCCTCGGCCTCCCTTTCCAGCCAGTGTGCCATTGTTTACCAGTGAGCGACGGTCCCCTCACTTGTTCATACGAAATACGTATTTCATAATATTCCATTCATTTTAGTGCTTGCAAGTGCTAAATAAGCTACCATGGCTCCAAAGAAAGCTCGTAGTGCCAAGCCTTTGGTAAAGAAGACGAGAAATACGACTGAATTTAAGAAAAACATCATCGAACAATATGAAAGTGGTGTACGTGTGGCCGAACTGGCCAGAATGTATAACAAATCCTGTACAACCATATCTTCCATCGTGGTCAAGAAAAAGGAAATCAAGGAAGCCGTTGTTGCAAAGGGGGTAAATATGCTGACAAAAATGAGATCACCAGTACTTGAAGAGGTTGAGAAGTTATTATTGGTGTGGATAAACGAGAAACAATTAGCTGGAGATAGTCTTATGACTTCAATTATTTGTGAAAAGGCTAGGCAGTTGCATGACGATCTGGTAAAGAAATTGCCTGCAATGAGTACTGATATTTGTGAATTTAAGGCCAGCAAAGGTTGGTTTAAGAGATTTAAGAACCGTAGTGGCATACACAGTGTGATAAGGCATGGTGAGGCTGCCAGTTCGGACAAAATTGCAGCTACAAAATTCATAAGTGAATTCAAGGAGTACATAAGAGGCTGAAGGACTGAAACCTGAACAAGTGTTCAATTGTGACGAAACAGGCCTCTTTTGGAAGAAAATGCCAAAGAGGACCTACATTACTCAGGAGGAAAAGGGACTGCCAGGACACAAGCCTAAGAAAGACAGGCTGACGCTCATGTTCTGTGCTAATGCTAATGGGGATTTCAAAGTGAAGCCGTTACTAGTGTACCATTCTGAAAATCCTAGTGTGTTCAGAAAAAACAATGTTATGAAGAGTAAATTGTGTGTGTTTTGGAGATCTAATAATAAGGCATGGGTCACGAGGGAAATTTTCATCGAGTGGTTCAATGAAGTGTTTGGCCCTAGTGTGAAGAATTGCCTCCTGGAAAAGAAATTGGATCTAAGTGCCTCCTAGTAATGGACAATGCACTTGCTCATCCTCCAAACTTGGATGACCTAATTCTGCAGGAGTTTGGGTTCATCACAGTAAGGTCTTGCCCCGATTCCACTCCTCTCCTCCAGCCCTGCAAGGTCTTTCAAACTTTAAAAAACTCTACACCAAAGCAATGTTTCGAAGGGTGCTTTAATGTACCTCAGGAAATTCATTTGACCCTAAAGAGGTTTTGAAAGAACACTTCAGAATCCTCCATTGCATAGCCTTAAAGGTAAAGGCTTGGAAGGAGTGCTACCAGGACTTCGAACTCTGCTTGGAGAAATGTGGCAGATTGTTCCACAGGGGATTTGAAGGTTTTGGTGACCGATGGGGCCTATTCATTTGAACTCTATTGTTGCATTGGGGATTCCATGGGGTTGGGATGTGAGTTTGGAGGATGTGGAAGGTTGGTGGAAGACCACAACGAACAGCTAACCACTGAGGAGCTGCAAGAGCTTCAGCAGGAACAGCAACAGATCGCAGCTCAGAAATCTTGCTGCAGAGGGGAAAAGAGATGGAAGAAGGTGCCTTCTTCAAAGCTAAAGGATTTTTGTAATGTGGGGTAGGATGGAAAAAATTAGGAAAAGCATCACCCTGAGAAGATGTTGCAAGCCATATTGGCAACTTGTACAGTGACAGAGTTTTGGGCCCCATTTTAGGAAGTTTTAAAGAGATGCCAGAAACAGAGCTCTCTGGACGCTTTTTTTGCAAGACAGGACTCCAGTGACTCAAACTGGTCCTAGTGGCATTAAGAAACAGAGAAGAGAATTAACCCCAGAAAAGGACTTGGTACCTGAGGTGTTGATGGAAGGGGATTCCCCTTCCAAACAGTAACTAATCCAATCTCTCTCCTCCTCTAGTCTTCCATACACTAAAAAGAATTGCCAATAAAGGTAAGTGTTATGCTGTTAATGTTTCATTCATCATGTCCCATTGTATTGTTTAAGTACTACATCTATATTTCATGTAAAAATTTTTTTTGTTTTAATACTTCTGGGCGTCAGGAACGGATTAATTGTATTTACATTATTTCTTAAGGGGAAAATTGATTCGAAAATCATCTATTTCGATAATCGTCACACTTCCAGGAACAGATTAACGACAATAAATGAGGAGCCACTGTATTACCCTGCTCACACTCAAACAGCTCGTCAAGTCCCAAAAACCATTCGTCTCCATTTACGTACTCCCATCTAAAACAAACACACACACACGGACTCGAAACCCCCGCAACCTCAACTAGGTGAGTACGTTTCACACACAACAACACACACACACACACACTCTCACACACACCACACACATCCCCAAAACCCACACACACCACACACCACACTCACCCCACACACACACACCCCACCCACAACACCCAAACCCCCACTCCACCCACCCACCACACACCCACACCACACTCACACCCACACCCCACCACTCTCACACACACACTCCAACACCCCCACACACAACTCCACACACACACTCCACACACACACACCACACACACACCCCCACACACACCCCCACACACCCTCACACACACACTCCCCCACAAAACACACTCCACACACACACTCTCACACACACACCCAACACACACCCACACACACACTCCACACACACACTCTCACACACCCCACCTCACCCACACACACACACACCCACCTCCACCCACACACTCATCACACCCCACACACACTCACTCACACACACACACCACACACACACCTCACACACACACACTCACCCCAACCCCAC